GGAATTTTCTTCTGAGCATTCCTCGACGTTTTTCTTTTATTTCCTCTCATAAACGACGTAGTAAGGTGCAGTAGTAATCAGAGTTTATAGTCTGACCCCTTTCAAGATAATCAATCATAATCACACCTTTCGAGTCCCAGAATACTGAAGCCATCACCTTATTTGCCGACAAAATCGACTTAGCCTTTTTTAGGGGGTGGTGAACCAGGTCTTCTCCACTGTTTTGATTATTGTTTTGTTTCCGGTGTACAGTAATGAACCCATGTTTCGTCCATAGTAACAAAATGATTCAAAAAATCATCTGCATCGGCTTCAAATAACTCCAAACAGTCGCGTGAAATAGTCAATCGCGTCCTTTTTTGTTCAACTGAAAGCAGTCGCGGAACCCACCTCGCAGACACCTTGTGGAAACCCAACTCGTTGCCAATGATGTTTTGAGTTCGTTCATAAGAGATGCCTATAATCTCGGCTATCTCCCTAATTTTTAATCTGCGGTCTCCCATTATTAAATCAAGTACTTTTTTTAATATTTTCGTCAGTTGACGTCGAAGGCCTTCCAGAGCGGGGTTCATCTTTCACACTCTCTCTACCACGCTTAAATTCTGCTATCCATTTTTTGACGGATGATTATGACAGAGCACAATCGCCTAATGTACTGACCATGTCATCATGGATGGCTTTTGATGATAGCCCCTTCTTATGACGGCACGCTGCTCGATTTGCTCCATTCGCGGAAATTATGTCCGATTACTTTGTTAATAAATTTATAAAATCACAACTAATTATCGCACACGTTTCGAACTTCACACAATGAACTAGTCTGAACTGATTTTTAGAATTGAATGGATCTGTGTTAGGCCGAGTACTTTTCAATCCACCTAGGTATAAAACGTTTACTTAAGTTGCATGACGGCGTCCTAAAGATGGCGTTCAGGCGTCACACAAAATTTCAGTGCTAGGTTTGTATTGAAGTTTCACCCCCCTGAGACTGATCGGGCGGCAGGTAACAAGCTTCAAGAAGCCGATAGTTTATGTAATTTATTTTTACAGTGAAAATAATGGTAATTAAAAAAATAAAAAAAACATAAGCCCTGCTTTATAGTTAGTTCAGTTAGTACGCAAAGTTTCATCATCTAATTTAAAGTATTTTATGAATACCAGCGGATTAACGCAAAAACTACTGGACAGATCTCCATGAAATTTTGTATGCTGGCAGTTAGTGACCCGGGGCTACTTATAGGCTACGTTATATCCGATTACGGAACTTAAATAAGGAGGGTTAGATATTTTCCTTTCTTTAGAAGTTATTTTCTATTATGTTTGATTCTGTTAGTTATAAGCGGGATAACGTAGTGTTTTTTAAACGAATACAATATTTATAATTAAAGTTTAAAATTTGTTTTAACTGTTATGTAATAATTACTACGCCAACGATCTACGTTTTCGAAAAAGCGCCACCTGCCATAAAAAGTAAAAATTTTATTTGTTATTTAGCCTTCAGTTATCTGTTAATAATAATAGCCTTTTATTCCTAAACATTGGGTTACAAGAGATCCCTAAGTTCGGTGTGCTTTTGGGCATAGGCCTCCTCCAATTCCTTCCCATGGTTCCTGTCCCTTACTACTCTCAGCCAGAATGATCCCGCTGTCTGTTTCAAGTCGTCCTCCCATCTCCTGATTTAACGACCCCTGCCTCTTTTGCCATCTCTTGGTTGCCAGAGAGTGACTTGCTTGCTCCATTTGTTAATATGGTGGCGTAGCAAATGTCCAGCCCATCTCCATTTTTGGACGTCTATCCGGGTAAGAATGTCTGTGAGTTTTGTTCTTGTTCTAATGTCTACGTTCCTGACTCTGTCTTTGATTTTTAACCCTAGCATGCTTTTATCTGCAGTTATCTGTTACTTATTAATAAATTAAATAACATAAACAATATACATTTGTATTATGAATAATAGAATGTAGAAGTAAGGAGTACAGACTGTGTATTAAAAAGTGTCCACAGAAAACCGTTAAATAAGGGTGGCGCCACTATAACTACGGGGTAAATTTTATCCCGTTCCGCGCAGATGGTTAGTCCCCTATTGAGGTGGTACTTCAGGATATGTAACTTTTTATTCCATCCTCTGTGGTGCCCGTCGGAGGCAGATGCCAGCCATGGTTTGATCGCTCCTGTAAAATTGCATCACGCTATAAGCAGGAGTGCTACCAGGCCTGGGCTGAGCAGCGATCTTAAAAAAAGTATGATTCCGCCTCCAGATTTTCAAAAAAGACTTTTTTGGCAAGGTCTGAGCACATCGGCAAAATTAGCGAGAAGGAAGTTCCCAAAGGAAGGCGAACTACGCCTTCCCCGTGCATTCTGGTCTCTCGCCAAAACTGTCCAAGGGAATTCCTGTCAGCTATCTCTTACATCTCTGCACAGGGAGGACGACTCACTGGCCCATGCCACAAAGGAGAAAGCCGATCTACTAGGCTCTTTCTTTGCGTCCAACTCGACTCGAAGACGGGGCGAGCACACCGCCGACCATCCCGCGGTGTGAGTGCTCCATGTTGGATGTGTGGTTTACACAGCGCTCATTCGCTAATCACTCCTCACCCTGGACACAGCAAGTCGAATGGGCTTGATGGAGGCGCTACTATTGTGCTCAAGACGTATGTTCAGGAGTTGGCACGGTTTAAACGCGTCTTTTCCTGTACTCCTAGTCCCAAGGCGTAGTCCCAAATTCATAGAAGACAACTTTGGTCCACCCGATCACGAAGAATAGGTGACCGATCAGACCCGCTCAACTACAGGTTAATATTAAAATAAAATTTGCTTTTAAATTTATTAAAGTTATGACGCGTACAATTGCTAAACACACATTGATGGAGAGATTATAACGCGTATGACTTGATTACCACAATAGTAAAGAGAGATTGTAATGCGTACTTTCTAAAAATACGTAAGCATTTATTATTGTCGGTATAAAATCTCTACTTACCTAACTCCATCAGCAATATCCGGAACTTGTGCAGAAACAATGTTAGGATTCATTATTGTTATTATTTTTTATTATTTATTATGCACAAAAAACCTGTATACCTCAACAAAAATAATCGTCGCTACACCACACTGTTCAATGCGAAATAGAAAGACGAAACGAAAATAATTACTGCTAAAGTAATTAATATTTTTATTATAATGGATTTCCGCAAAGTAACGCCTAATTCTATCAATTATATAAATAAGTGTTTTTATTTCTTATCATTTTATTGTGTTTTGCTTTTCATTATTTGTATAATTCTTTTTTTTTTAATATTTACCCCTTTTGGAAATTTAATAATGAAACAACACGGAAAGGCTCTAGCAAAGTTTAAAGAATAACCTTGTACTTTTCAAATTCTTTCTATTCATTCGTATAAAAAAGCCCTAAAATACTCGTTTTTTATGGTATACGTATAGTTGTTCCATTTAACAGAATCAAAGTTCAGCCTAATATTTAGAGGTATAACAATATAAAGTGTTTGCGAAACAATAATTACTAAGTTGGAAGTGTGACAGACACTTGTAGCCGTAGGATCAGAGACGCGCATGGTAGTTTAAGGTGGCTAGACCATGTTGTTGTCACGACCGCGGCGAGGCCCACTGTACTTTCTGCATGTATTCTTTACGGCACGTACTGGTCCGATCTGTTTCCTGTATTGATGGAGTGTAATTTCAATATAGTAACACCAAAATTAACTCAGTCGAATAATTGTATTAATAAAATCATATGGGGAGAGCGTGATAATGATCAAATTGATAAATATTATAATGAATGTAACTCCAGGTTCAAATTAATAGATTTTCCAGCAGAATTTTCGGATTTTTGTGATAGTATGTGTAGTAACCATCAACACAAAATAATGTTATGTTATTATATTAATATTGAAATTACTTGACAGATTGTTTATACATATTGTGTATGCTTTCGGACGCTGCTATCTGTAGTTATAGTGTTAGGACGGGGCGAAAAGGTAAATACTTATGTACCTGGTTGGAACAAACACATTCGCGAGGCGCATGGGAGGGATTTTGTAGCAAATAAATATTACAATCCCTATTTTAAAGTAAGATGAAATTATGTATTTTTAGGAATGAAATTTAAGAATAAACAAATTTATTAAATATTTAAAATATATTGAATAAAGTTACCAATCAAACTCAAATCAAATCAATTGAATTACTTGAGGTTTTTGTGTGTATGCCATCTAGCGTCGATTGTACTTACCACCTTGAAAGTCAATAAGTTTTAGTTCGATAAAATTACTTTATTACCTATAGCATGTACTAGATGGCACTATTACAAATCTAAAATAAAAAATTTTCGGTTCCCAATGAATCTCATAGACTCACGGTGTACTGGAGCCTGAAATGATCCATTTGAATGATCGATCGGAATATAGCCATACGCGTGACAAAATGATTCGGTCACTAGAAATGAATGAGAGACACATGTCTAAAGGAAAAATTATGTGCGTTTCACTGTATTAACAAAACTTTTTTTGTTAATTTATAACTTATAACTGTAATTGATTTTGATCATCAGAATTGTTTTGGTTCCCTTTAATCTCGTTGTCACTCGTTGCCCTGACTGAATATTTATAAAACCATCTTTCGAAACGCCGAATGATTGAGATGCGTTTTGCAAATTATCCTTTCTCCATCGATTATGGTACGATACTGCTCGTCCGTTAAAGTTATTATCGATATGAAAGAAAATGTTATCTTCGGGCAAACCTTCTTCGGACCAAAATGAAGATATTGTGTTTTCTATTGTTTCAAATGTCGAAACTTTTGATTGAATTGTGTTTGTTGTGTTGTTTATATGTTCATGTGTTTTTATGAGAGTATTCACATTTATTACATCAACTACTTCTGCATTTTTTACTAGTAAGCTTCTTTCGATTTGCTTCCATTTGTATTTTTGATATAAATTACTGTAGGGCGTGGGATCTTTCATAAATATATTGCGGGGTACCTTATCAAGTCCTATTTTCAAACCTCTTACTACCTTCTGTAATATTGAACAACTTCACTTCCATATCGGTTATAATTTTTCTATCTATACCATAGTAGTGCACAATAACATCGTCCTTGTTTGAGGCCGTGTTTACAAAGATCTGTATTTTAGTATTACACAAAACAAACTGATAAAATATTATAACAATGCACACACGAAACATTTTTGTTCAGAAATACTGTTTCCACAAAAATAAATTTATTGCCAATAGCTAGGTACTCATTATTGATTTGTAGTAGAATGTAGTGATTATAGGATAGTATGTAGGTATATATATATATATATATATATAATAAGACAGTAGACAGTACCGCGGTCGCCGCGTGCCCAGGCTGCAGTTCCGTTTCAACACCACTTGTGGTTCCAATCGTGATAGTTTCAGATTGCTCTTCACTTGCCCAATAGTTTAATTGAGAAGTGTTTTGTTCCTTGGTTTTGGTCCAACTCGTTGAAATCGTATTTTCCACTGTTTGACTTATCCCTGTATTTACCTTAATCGTCTTATATGAAACGTTATCGAAGTCTTGAGACACTATTACAGGTTTCTTCGTTATTGTCTTTAATCTTGCTGATTTGACAGTCAAAACTCGAGATACCTGTTCCCAGTTATATTTTTGGAACAAATCTCCCCACGGTGTCGGACTTTTTAAGTAAACATTGCTGGGAGACCAATGGTAATGTCCCTTTACAGCATTCCTTATGTTAGCGTTCCCAATATTAAATAATTCAATTTCCCGATGACCAATAATGTTGATTTCGAAACTAGAATGTGTTATTGTAACATCGGTATCGTGTATTCCAACATTTATATCTAGTGAGAACTTCGAATCAACTATTCCTACAGCAACTATAAATAAAATCTGTGTTTCAATAAATGTGTTCATTTTATATACTATAAAATTACATTGAATAAGACGTGCACTACATAAGATCTTATTGGTTTCTGATCTTAAAATCTACTCAATTTTTAAAATTTATTAATTTTTGTATTCTGTTAAGACTTTTTTGTAGAGTTGTGTAGTGACTTACGAACGAAACTTTATTTTATGATTTCAATATATTTTATATTTTGGTTATACAATTTCTTAAAGGTAAATGTGTTACGAACTTAAAAAGCACTTTTAAAAGACAAAACTGGTATAGGTTAAGTGATGACTCATAAATTTTACTTACAAACTCATTAAAAATAAAATAATATAAAGTTAAGCATTTTAATCTGAACTATCTCACGTCGAGTTTTAGTTAGAGTTTTCCTGTCAACGAAATTGTGCCTGATCTCTCTCATTGTTAGGACGTGTCGGATTGGCATGTGAGTGCATGTGTACTTGCGCACACACTTGTGCACTATAATTTTGTCCTGCGCAGATGGCTAGACTCTGTTGAAATGAATACTGGGCATCGTGACAAAAATTCTGTCTGAAGGATGTTATATATTGATTTATATTAAATTTCTAATTGCTGCCTCAGCTCTTAGCAACTACGGATTTTGCAAATATTTATGTAAAAATATGAATTATTTTTCACAATCAATTAGTAATAGTTGTTCATGGGCTTGCAGTAGCTTCTTTACCATCAGATATAATAAAGATACCATAATTTTGAGTTTTGAGACTGATTAGTAAATTAGAATATATTTTCTCCAAATATCTAGACTGACTAAAACCTTCATTTAATTTATGAATAAAGCCTTCAACGGGACATTCTAAAACCATAAATCTTGATCAGTTGATATAATTCAGTCATGAACGTTACTGGTAATAATTAATTAATCCACGTTTGATATTCGGTGTCGTCACACGCATGCTATGAAGGTTTTTATCAACAATAGGACGAATTTTGACACACGTGTGTTTGCACCTCCTCTGACTCTACCTGTTCTTATTATAATGATATAGAGTCGAATATTCGGTGCAATGTAGTTGTGAAACGTAGCCTGTGATGCGGTCGAGCTTTCCTTCAGTCAAACGATCAATATAAATAGTGCAAGATGTTTCTGATAAAGTATTCAACAGGTTCGTTTCATCTGGAACAGTTCAGTTTCAAGGTGTAGAAGTGGTTAGATTGTTTTTTAATAATTTAATTATTATCAATTTTTACCGCATTAATTTAGGAAGTTAACAAGTTTGAGTAGAGATTTACATATTGTCGCTATTGTATGTTCTCTTTGCCCACTTTCCGCTATAATCAAATGCGATCGGAAGTTACCAGCGTACCAATTCAGCTGAGCAGGACATCCTATAGTGCAACGATGTTACTATAAAACATAGAAATACATTTTTGATAAAGTGAGGGTGACAAATAAGTACGTTGTCTACCTGATGGTTAGTGGATACTCTAGCCCACAAGATGCTGTGACCCATATACAGATTCGTTGCCATCCTTAGGAACAAAGATGGTATTTATATTACAAGTAAAATGGACTTTAGTTTTAGTTACTAAAACCATAAGAAAAGCAGCATACAGCTGCTATTTTTCGCTGGTTTTGTGTGAGAACGTGAAATTTCCCCGGTCAAACTGAACCGTTTGCACTTCAGCTATAATGTCAGCTCATATGTGTTAGAGCCACGCTGCAGCTATATTATGGTTGTAGCACGAGTGGGTCGGCTCGACCAGGGAAGCACCACGCTCTCATAGAATACCTGCGTAAAATAGCAGTTGAATACTGCTGTGTTTCGTATGGTGTAGAGATCCAGAGACCTTTTTTACTGGCAACGAGGTATTTCATATTAATCCTCAGGGGTGACAACGAATTTGCATATGTCTACGGGCCACAGCATCCACTTACCATCAGGTGGACTGTGTGCTCGTTTGCCACGCTTCTTCTGTAATAACAATATGTAAAAACATTTTTTTTATTTCTTGCAGATGTTATTCCTTGAATAAAACAAAATTTACGGATTCTATCGCGTTTATTTAACTGATTTTACTTATTTTTAATTCCCGATGTTTCGGGTGCTTTACAGCAACCATGGTCACGGGGGGGGACTGAGATGTTTAACGTCCCAATGTCATTGTTAGCCCGGCTACCGTTAGTTTTTGAATATTAATTTTTGGTCCGATTTACGCAAAACGAACTTACAGTATCTTGAAGTCTTACAGTGCTATGCTTGGGTTTGGGTTTAATTTTGTTAATTATAGGATCTCAAGCAGATGGCAGCACCCAACCATCTTCTTTATTGAAATTAGGATGTTTTTTAATTTCAATAGCCTCGCGTATCATCCTTCGTAGGAATCGGTGTTCTTTTGCGAGGATTTGTGGTTTATCAAATCTGATGTAATGGTGGGGACGATCTTGAACATGTTCACAGACTGCAGACTTCCCGGAGCGTCGGGTAAGTTGCGTAAGTTGCGTTTGATTATTCTATAATAGATAAATTTTTACCGTCTGGAAACAGCAGTGTGTTACAGGTGAACGGAGTAGAAGCCTAAGGCACTGATATTTTAAATTTTTTTTTTTGCTTTTACATTAATATATTCTTATGAAATTGATCTATCAATAAATACTACTAATTTGAAATAAACTTTCCGCACCTACTAAAAAATAAGAATAAATATTTTTAACTAAATAAATAAATCAATTAAAAACTATCCAAATTAAAATAATACGCACCTAAGTAGTAGTATTTATTGATAGATTAATTTCATAATATGTTAATGTAACAAAGAATGTAAGATATCAGTGCCGTAGGCTTCTATTCCGTTCACCTGGTACACCCTATTTTTTCCAGACGTTAAAAAAATCATTCAATATTTCTTACGATGTTAGTAAATTAAATAACACTAAGTAAAGTTCAAATTTTTCATTAATTTTGGCCTGCATAAAGCATTATATTTGAAGTCAAGAATGATAATAATGTCCTTCAAACTGAATTTCGGCCACGGCGGCCTGCCTCAGCGGAGGCTAGCCATCGGCGCAGGACAAGATTATAGTGCCCAAGTGTATGAGCAAGTACAGATGCACTCTCTACTCCCTCTCACTCTCATAATCCGACGGGACGGTAAACCTACACGACCGGAGAGATACCAGGTGCAGGACCAACGGCTTTACGTGCTTTCCGAGGCACGGGGGTGAGACACCGCCAACTTCCGACTCCGGGCAACTACAAGAATTTCTTGACGGAAAAACTCAATAGTAAATTTTTTTCGCCCAACCCGGGATTCGAACCCAGGACCTCATGGTCAGCAGTCGCACTACTACAACCACTGAACCAACGAGGAAGTCAAGAATACTTTCGTTACCGTTACAGCCTATCAAAGTGCACTGCTGAACATAGACCTCCCCCATAGATTGCATTATTGCCATAGTTTTTGCCATATTTTATTTTTAGTCGTTACTGGGAACACGTTGTTAGCCATCTGCAGGTATGTTTCCCTCTGCTGCCTCTTACGACAGCCACGGGATGATATGAGGCAGTGGATATTCTCACACCGCCACTACACGGTAAACGCGGTAAGCGGTAAAAAAAGCTAAAAGCCCTAAAATAAAAGTTATTATTTCATTTCAATCACATTTTTGTCTTTATGTTTTGACATATCATATATAACAGTACCTGGATGACCGAGCTTTGCTCGGTTTTAATAAAAAAAAAATTATGCCATTAGGTTAATTAAAATTTTCGTGTTTTTAAAAAATACTAAAAGAAAGGGCTCGAAATAATAGATTTTCTCACAAAAGACAGGACAAAAAAAAAGGAAAAAAAGTCGGACCGAAGACGGGGCGCGAACCAAGGCATTACGATTTCGCGACCACTCGATATCCACTTGAGCTATTACGATCATTAACACAATGTCAAAATTTACCTTCATATATTGTAGCAATTTTCCATTGCCTGAAAACACGGACAAAAAGACATTTTCTAAAAATAAATCCTAGCTAGATCGATTTATTGCCCCCCGAAACTCCCTGGACACAAAATTTTATGAAAATCGTTGGAGCCGTTTCCGATATATATATATATATATATATATATATATATATATATATATATATATATATATATATATATATATATATATATAAGAATTACTCGTTCCGATTATTAAAACGTGTGAAGTTAGTGCACTCGCTTCGCTCGTGCGCTAACTTCACACAAGTCAATAATCAGCTACCTATCAAGTTTCTTGTATCGTTATGTATTATTAACTATTTCTAAAAATTCGAAATTTATCAATTAAACGCTTCAAATTATTTAAAATTGATATTTTTAACAGTTACACTCTAAGAAAGGAATATACATAACAAGTAACTTATGTTTTCCTTACTAAATTTTAGGGATACTTACTTAGCAGCAGCCCGATCAGGTCACGGAGAGTCTCCTCAACAATATTTACCGGCCTTACCTGAATCATCTGTAAGAGACTCCAAAGCATTTACTAACACCATCTCTGACCAATATCTTGGACCGAGAACTAGGGGAATTTCTCAAGAATATGGATCTACTAGCTTCCGTGGCGGATTATCTCAGAAAAATGGAACTCCCAACTTGCGCAGTGATATAGAATTTCAGAGTAAATTATCACAGGGTATGTACCGTCACTTCGTCACTCACAAGAGTACGACCCTCTTAGCTCTTTGAGACAGAGTTTTTCGGTGGTTAATTCAAAAACAGGAACCTCTCAACGGTATGGTGCTGTAAGAACGTCTCCTTCGGACGTATACAGTGCTCCATCACTCAGATCGTCCCCAACCACACAATACGTCGTCCCTGAATTCCAACCAACGAATGTTGAAGAATAAAATGCTCCATTCGTAAGAAACAGTGGCTTTTCGAATACTAGAAGTTCTTCGCACGTTCAAAAGTACGGTGTGCCCAAATTTATCAGTAGCCAGTTGGGTACTGGCTCCGTATCACAGGAATAT